AAAAAAAAAATATTGAAAAATAAAAAAATGGTAGCGTCTAAAAAAAAATTTTATTTTTCACCAAAAAATTGGTTAGTTTTGTAAGTCGCAAAATTTGAATTTTGCAAATATCGATTTAATTCTAGTTCATACGATAACCACACTCATACAGATTAAGAATCTTTTTGGTTTTTTTATTTCATATGACTACAACGGCTGCAATCATGTCCACCATGAACAACAATTTTTTTTTAGGCATCCTGGTTGGACTACCATAACTCCGAAACAAACAAATATTTTTATTTGAAAAAATTTCAGGATATATTTGAAATGTTACTTAATAAACGTGGAAAGTTTGGAATTAATAAGTTTTATACTTTTTTTTTTTTAAATTCCCCAAAATCGCCTTTTTTTCAGAGCGTCAAACTAGAAAGACCCTTTAATTAGAGAATTTGATATTATGTTTTTCTAAAAATAACGTGAGATGTGTAAATAATAATCGCAGAAAAGCAGAAATGATAACGAACGCGATTATACGAGCTATCGGTTTTCAGGTCAATGTTCTGCGATAGTTATGAATGTCGCTTTACATACTTGCTATGTATTCACCGACAACACTTGATGTGATCCAATAATAAAATAAACCATTATTAAAGATACTATCGCTAATAATAATACCGTTCAGAGAATTAAGAATGCGATAGGCGCGATTTTCTTAGCTATCGGTCGGCGATCGCGACCTATTTATTAATACCCTTCGATATACCGGTGCTCGGTGTTTTCTCCGGTTCCAACAATGAATGTACACACACACGCGTCGCGTAACACGTAACGAGACCGTTTAATGAGAAACCTCATTTTCTCACGTTACAGATAGTATCGTCTCGCGCGCCTTCTCCTCTGACGTTTCAGCGTTCATTCAGATCTTCGCGCGCCGTTCATGCGAGTTGCCGGTGTCGAAGTTCTTTGAGAAACACAGATATCGTATATCTAGGCAATGTAGTTTCGAGTAAACTAAAGAAAAAATGTACAATGTTATCACACTAATAGATGAAAACGATTTTATTCGGAAATATAAAAAATTATTCATTTTAATGTACTCGAATCATATTGTATTGTTAAAAGTAATTATGTTTTTAAAAATAAAATTGTGTATATCAACCGAGGGAATCTATGTATATTACGCATAAAATTTTAAACTTGGCTAAATATAGCCACACTTGTTCAATTTATTTCTTGGGAAGGTATACACACACAGAAAAATATTATTCTATTGCTAAGTAAAATGATTACTCAGTTTACTTTACTTCTTTTAAATAACAGTTATCTTTAACAAAGAACATTTTCTTAATAATAGTCCTAAAATAGACTTGTCACAAATTTTAGAAAAACTCATTATCATGTACTCAAAAAAAAATAAATATTTTCTTTTGAAGAATATTATAAAATTTTATCGATGAAGTCAGATATGGTTAATCCAATGTAAAAAAATGTATTAGATGAGAAAAATTTAATGTATTTCTTTCAATTATATAATTTAATATTCTTGATTGAAGTATTAAATTTACTAGGATTCAGAATACATTTTGAATAAATTTGATGCTTATGATGAACTTATGATAGATTTGCGGATATATGAACTTTTGAAATACTTGAAACAAGTAATATTTACTTGTATATAGTATGTATTTTTCTGTGTGCGAGAACGAGGAAGGCACTTTGAACAATTTTTACATTAAAATATGAGATTGG